AAAAAAATTACCAGTGACAAAGTACTTAACTTTTATTTGATAAAGATAGCAACAAAATATCAAAAATTATTCTGCCTACCAGAATAAGCTAGAAGAAAGAATAGAAAGTGTCATCTGTGCAACAGAAATACGCTAATTTTATTAAATAATGTAAGCCTGATTTATATGTCGGTGGATTATTTTAATGAAGAGACATTCTATTTGGTATTTTGACGCTAGAAAATGAAGCAGAGAAGGAGTTCATAACACGGTGGTTACATAAATAGCAACAACAAATGAATCAGAGATCACAATGAATACGAAATAATGCACAATTCAATTGAAGATAAACCAGATGATGTTATTAGGGATGTTACTTTAGTCGAAAGCTAAACAGATTTACGTATATGACAGTTTTTGTCTTTTTCTAAGTGTGCCAAGTGAGGTCGTACACCTTGCTGGCACCAAAATATAACTAGCTGGAAAATACTTGGACATTTTCGACACCGTCAACCGATATCTCAATTATTTAAGGCTTGGTATATCTGCATATGGTCTTGCAATTTTAGAAGTTCCATTTAGTCTGCCTGCTTTAAGCTAACATACTTGAATAAGTTTGAATTATTAACCTAAATAATTATTATTTGTAATGAATATACATCAGCCTTCTTAGGGCTCTTAAATAGTTGTAAGAGAATTTCTTTTTATACTTTCTTATCACTACCTGTAAACTATGTAGGATACTAATAACAGTTAATTATGTGCTTACTTGGTGTGAAAGACTGTTTTCGTGTCAGAAAAAAAGGCCATAATAATTACATTTTAAACGGGTAGAGGAAGTTATCAGATTATAGTATTCTTTAGTTTGGAGCGTGTATTGAAAATGTGATGGATAAAATTTCCTAGCCGCACTGGTGGTAAAACAAGGTACTGGTTACTCGGTAGTGAACGACAAATGCATTTTACTGAACATTGTCAATAAACGTTATGAGAAAACTATTTATATCATGATATGAATATGGACAATAAATCGTGTCCGAAACGTTATCCAGTAAATGATATTATTTCACTGTGTGACGTTTTTAATAAACAGATTAAAAAGGAATTACAGTCTATCAAAGTGCCCAAGTTCTACTCTTATATTTTTCGTCGGTTGTTTCCCTACTACCTACAAAATTCATAAATTATGCTGCATTGTCACAATTACCTTCACATAGCATATAAACGTACCCATCGTCTGAGGTCTACTGCAGGGCATTTATAAGAGTTGCCTTAACGCAGTTTTATATTACACTAGGGATTTTTATTTATAAGTGTCTACTTGATGATATAAACTTTGAAACAAACTTGTAGTATGATAGTGATCTTTTTTAATGATATTTCGTTCTCAACCTTGATTACTAAGTTGCTGTGTGGAACCAGCCTCTGATAGTTATTTGATGTTGGTTTATTGTTGACGCAGATGTTAAAATAGACATCCTTTCAGATTTGATACTAAATCAGTGTTCAGCAGCAAAGTGGTCCTGAAATAGAATTATGGAGTAGTTTTGACGCCTGGCGTTGATTAAAACTTGTTAACTTCACGTTAAACAGAAACAACAACTAAGTGTGTATTTCTAACAATTGATACTTCTCTCAATCTTGCGTAAATAACTGACGAGAACTTCATTGGACTCAATAATTCGTAACAGTCTGGAACTCAAGCAGCTCATATTGTTAAGCGCTGTAGTCAGTACTTCTGGTAATTTTGAGTCACTAGTTGCCAGTGATGGACTACATTGTGTCATTCATTTAATGCCATCTAGTTTTCAGCGCTAAACAATCACACTACGGCTAATACTATTAATCACACTACTACTACGATGACGACTACTTAGAGAATGTTTCCTTGGGTCTTTCTGAACTACTGTGTCACAAATTTAAACTTTGTGTCAATAAGCAGACTAATATCTCATCTTTCTTTGCACTGAAAGAACTTGATTATTTTAGGTAATGTTATTTCACAGTAATTCACATTAACACAGTTTTATTGCAGGATGCAACCTGAAGTTCATCTGTCAAATAAAGCCTTAGTATCAGAAGTCACATTTCTCAGTAAATGTTTGCATTTTAGTCTGTTAGTCAGGATTTCTTAAAATACAGTCTTACAAAAGGAGAATTATGCTAAAGTTCTGAATTTCGTGAGATTAAACGACTTCACTCCTTCTTTCCACTAACATCTAACAGAAAATCTATCCTAATGGTCTAAAAAATCGTAGTTTAGTAAAAACTAGGTCAGCGTTAAGTAACAGAAGAATTACAGTTATTTCACAAGCAACAAGTCGCCATCTAAGTGCCTATACAGTAACATTTTTGTCTATCTCGTTCAACATTGGAGGTTTTAAAGATATAGTCTTGAGATAACTGTCAAAAAATACAAACTCTAGTTTCGTGGTATTTAACACCTATTATATCTAATCGAATGATAAATGCAGTGCTATATTTAATCAATTAACATATTGGCTACCTTATACTAATTAAGCAATGGATTTTGACTGATAATAGAAATTTAAGCACAACATTTGTTAAAAATAACCCGAACACTGACGTGAAAAAAATGTCACATGTTAAGCAAATGGCTGAAATTCCGAACACCTAATGCTCATTTGTATTAGAAGACAAACAAGAAACATGGAAGTATTCACTGACGTGCATAGAAGAGAAACTCAGCAGTTATCTGTATCTGTATAAATTGTTAGAAGATCATATTAAAAACCGCAGGGAACATATCATTCTGATCAATAATGAATTGAAATTCAACTTCCTTTTCTAATGCTTCAACTGGTGCTCATCAAAGTGTTCTTAACACCTTTTTAAACATTCATCTTGTAGTTTTCATCTTGGTAATCAGAGTACTCTATTTTAATTACTTTACTGAACCATTTTGTCTCGGCTATAAGCATTAAAAATATAGAGCAAATGCAAATTGTACGAATTACCTTAAAACATTTAAAAATAGCATTAGTTTATAAGAATTTTGAAATAATGTCCATGCTTTTCATGGCTTTGACCTCCCTTAACTCAATGGGCATCCTGATTCGATTTACACTTTGGTGGAAATGCGCAATACAGAGTTAGTGTATGCAGACGGTAACCTGCCACTGAGGTTTCACTGATATAATCATTGACACTACAGGTCCTTTGAATTCATAATTCACATCAGGGTCACCCAAGAGTTAGTTTGAAGTACTGAGTTTTGTATTTAAATCCTTTGATTGATTTGAAATAGGGAAACACAATGAGATTCAGGGATTTAGTAGACAAGCTCCATGTTCATATGATCTCCTTTGTCAAATTTTGGTATCAAGCGCCAACGTGAAAACAAGGTCATATGTGCGACTAAGTAGAAACTTTCACTGTTTTCTGAGTAAAATCCTGGAAATCTTCAACTGAAAGAATGGATGTGTGTCTAGTTGTGATTGAAAAATATCTTATATAAGCAAAAGGCGAAATGGTTTCCTAAAGAGCTGTCAGAGTACTGATCACACTGAATTTACTTCTTTTTAAAGAACCCATTGGTACAGAGAACTTGGAAACAAGCTTATGTCTACAGTACAAGGTTGTAATCACCATGTCATTAGCATTGTAAGCAGAATTATATTCAGAATAGTCAGTCGTTATCTTACTGATCCGAGTAAGAGACAGTACATGAGGAAATATGATGGTAACTTATTCCTACATGACGTTTGGCATGATTAATGGAACACGATGTTTACTGAGCATTACAAAAACCAAGGTCAGCTAAAAATGAAAATAAACTGTGAGAGAAATGAAGCAAACATTTTAGTCTTAAGTGTCAGCCAAGATTCTGTTCATATTACCATAAAAATTCCTAATTTGTCATCCCAAACAAATTAATGCAAGTCATATTTGTGTGGATGGTGCTTCACAGAATTAAAAATAGTCTTCTGCAAAACCATTGGTTATACTCGTTAACCCAGTCATCCTTTCAGTAGCAAACTCTCGTTACATTTCTTGCAGTGTCCCTTTCAATCAACACCTGGCTCCTGATTTGCAGTGCTTCTCATATGTTGTTACTTATATTATGCTGTCATTGAGTGGACCAAATTGATCAGTCTCTGTTGGCATATGGGCTCCTGAGTAGATACCTCGATATTGCCTGTATTTTCGCTTTTACATTATTAGAACTTGTCAGTTGGGTGTATCTGTCTTCCCGTGAGTGCTTTTGTTTGCTCTAAGACTAGAACTCGGGACCTATCGCTTCAAATGCCAGAGCGTTATGCACTAGGCCACTGAGTCACGATAGCCACTTTCTGTGCAACGGGTATAAGTTTTATGTTATTACTTGTGTCAGTCTTAGCCGGAATACTATCGCTCACTGGGGGGAGATACATCCAGCTGACTAGCGCCAACTGCGAAGAAATGCGTATCTTGTGCTAGCCACTATCCATAATTAATATAAAAGGAGCCTCATAGCCTAGACTTTTCGCACTTTCTCTTTCCACATAAACTGTACCTTTCATTGCGCGATGGTTTTCTTAAGGATTTTTCTATAGTCCTATTCATAAAATATAAACCTTATGGGATAAATTATGAAGAAAAATTTGACCTTCTTTAAATAAATCTGGTAGTTTGACGTAGATGGTCAGTATTTTTTGGCCTTCTATCGATTGATTACATAACGTCTGTTCACGCAACATATGACGTATCAATCGAGATAACCGATCGATAGATTTTGAATTGTTATTAAAACAAATTGTCCGGATTTGTCAACGCACATAAAGTAGGATTCCATTACTGAGAAAAAATTAAATTTTTTCTCACTTTTACATGCATCTATGGGATTATAATAAATCCAAATGCTGAAGTTTATTTTATTTCATTACTTTTGTAAAAGATTTAGTGTTTCTACTGTAATAAATGGTGTAATTTGAAGTCACATGTTCTGACACAAGTATTTACATAGCCTAAATGGATATGACCGTAATCAGATATATGATTTGAAACTGTAATGAAAAAAGTCCTTGAAAATTTTATCTTCAGGTAAGTTCTTTCAAAGTGTGATAAACTGGCTTGCTGTGCTCGTTTTTTAAGTGCATTTCTACCAAATTTACTAAGACTTAGACAGATCTAAAACTGAATTTTAATTTTCATGTCACTGATTGGTATGAAAACAAGCAGATGTCGATGATTTGGTAGGACAGTATTCATATAGTTTCATAATATGGTGATGAAGTAGACAATTCATATCCGTTGGTAGTCAGGTAATAAACTAAGTTTTGAACCTAAAATCAACTGAGATCATCGTAGCATTTTCAACAACTGGCCCGAATGAATAAACGTTTGTGCATGCTTGCCTTTCTAAAGTGATACAACATTTGAGTACTCCAAAAACTATTAAATCAAGTGAAATTAATAGGACTATTTGTAAAGATTATAGGAATTTAAGGATGTTGATTTATGCTTGTCATTTCCAGGTGTGTATTACACCAGATAGAACTGGTAGGTCTATATTGGCATATATGTTACTGTGCGGATTCCTCCATATTGCCTACTGAATCAGGGGCCTGTATGCATGCAGAGATCGTTGATTTCAGTCTCACGTACTTGCAGTGTATTACAGCTGATGTCTATCGCACAAAGGATCAGTGTTGCTTTAATGAATGACATGGACAAATGAAGTTCAAACTAAAGGCTGAGCAGAAATATGCTACAGGCGAAATCTGGTGGTTTTTATCTCATTCACATGTTGAGTCATTAGTTTGGGTTTGAAACATAAATGGCTACCTGGTGCTTCTTGGTTTTCAATTTTTTTTTAGCTAATTTAATTTTATGAAAAAACTCCCTTGAATAGGAAAATAAGTGCAAAACTGAACACTTTATTGATAACTGTACGAAAACGTGAAATCACTGAATACGTCCATCATAAAAAAACAGCACTTTATGTAGAATAAGTGTAAACTGAAAGCAGTGGTGAATAACAAACATTTTCAGGATTGAAAATGTTATTTTTCTTAAGATTTAGTGCATGCATGCCTTCCTATTTGGTACAGCTGATGAACAAGTATTAGAACTAACCTCAAAATAGCTGGAAGGAACAAAAAGATGGTGGTATACAACCGTTTCACATTTAAATAAATACTTTGTAGTCAAGTGCGGAAAGAATAATTGGTAAAACCATCAGGTATATGCATACCTATTGAACAGTTTCAAAAGTAGAGGGTTAAAAACAACTTCTAGGTAACATGAAGTTATTTTTTTAGTAAATTTATACTTTCAATGAGTTTCTGCGATACAATATGTTTAAGTTATTTTTCACTGCCGAAAAAAGACTGATGAGTCAGCTAGACCAAATATCATAAATTGTAATTGATCAAACTTTCAGGGTCAGGTCTTGAACTGTGTAGGACTTTGTTTATTTTTTCAAAAGACGAAAAATGAATTTAGGAGATAATCCAAGTTGTTTCTGAATTCAGCTTGCTTCCGTCTTGGTAACTGAAGATAGGCTTTATAAAGTGAACTGCATAAACCACCTGTTTACACTTTCCCGGTTTTAATTATAAAAAGGACTGTCGTTTTACCCTGTTTTAATAATTTCAGCTGGTGGGTAAGTAAATAGTTAGACACTGATGTTACTTACTTTTGACCAACTGATATAACGCGTACAACTCTTATATACACTATGTCTATCAAGCCGATGAAGAGTAAAATTTTTATGATGGTAGTTCCACCCATGGTGTACAAACTGTTTCCAAGTTGACTGTTTGAAATGAGAGGAGTTACTGTCAATTTCTAGGAATGAGGAATCAGAGTCAGATGTCTAGCCCCTTGGTTGGTCAGATGAAATGAAATAATGACACTTCAGTACTTCTTGCAGCCTCCAAACAATCTAAACAGACAACGTTGATTAGCATTAGGTGGGTAATACATGAATATACGCGAAAAGAACAATAGATGACATTAACAACTATTTATTGAGTAATAACTCAAACGGTACGTGAACAAATCAGGAGATCAGAGAATTCTTAAAACCAGCTTTCCAATAAGAATGATATAAAGCAATGAAACTATTATCATCCCAACAAATGTCTCAAGTGAAACGATTCAAAATCTTTTCAACTTATCTCCTAGGTAATCCATTCATTTGCACTGAATTGGGAAGCACTTTTGCTGAAGTGAAATTATAGTGTCTTATAAATAATTTTTATAATTATGTTATAATGTCTATCACTTTTTCGTTGCATCTCAAACTTTAGGCGGTTTAATATTTTCAATAGAGAAATTAAAAATAAGATACTTAGTAAAAAATATTTTTTTAAGGTTTTATTTCTTAGCTGTACATTCGAAGCGATCACCATAACAGTAGTAACAGTTACAGTTGTGTAAGTGGAATAATTGCAAAAATAGATCACAAGATCTTCCAGGTCTCTTAAAGGATTTTTATGATTCAACTAATGGACTTTATGCAAATGTACTTGCCTCAGTCTTTGGTGCTGTCATAACTAACTTGATATTTCCACTTAAAAGCCCGAAGGAAACTCCCTTTTCAGAAGTCGTTTGAATGAATAAAGAATATTCTTTTCGATAATTTATTCTTCAGGTTCAACAAGTTGAGGAATTATGCATCAACAATAGTGAGATTCTGCTAAACAGTTTGTTGATAATATTGCACAGTTGAGGAATAAAGTTCAGAAAAGTCTTGTATGAACGTGAATGGTAGGATGTTGTTACTGGGATTCATTTCAGAACAACTGAATATCCTGGCGATTATGCTGCTTAGGTGACAGTTTAATAAAATATTAGAAAGACGTTTTTGAGAGCTGCATGAAACAGACTAGGGAAGATAATTTAAGGAATTACAGCTTAATAGAATGTTACTTATATAGGGGGAAAATGGGTTAAGATAATTGTTAAAATTACTTCAGATCACAAGGATGAAGCGGTATCTACAGTACGGAATGGAGTCGTATTGGATAGGATGCCAATGAACTTGTGCACTCCAAATTGGGTCAGGATTGTTGTAGCGGCAACGCAACTGAGGTTGTTTGTTCCCGATTCCTGCTACTTCTGCACTTCGAGGGAACTTGAGCCAGGTACCTTTTGGCAGGTTGATGAAAACACGGTACAGAGTGGGAAACCATTAATTCACATCCACCTTATGGTTAGTTTCAAGCACGTGTACTACATCTTTACTTAACCACGCTGAGGTGTTCGTGAGGGGGCGGCAGACGTAAATGGTTCCACAGGGCAGTCGAACTGATAGACACAACGAGAAGTGGCCAGTTTAGTTAATTCATCCTTCAGTTTGTGTTACCCCTGGACATGTGGAAACGAAATTTCTGACCAGCACACATCAAAAGATCTCTGAATTGATCTGCTAAGTTTATGAATTGATATCTCGCTGAGAACGTCACCTCTAAATTGTACCCGAATGTATAGTGTTTTTTTTGCTAGCTGTTGGAACATCATTTATTCCCATTTTGGTAATCATTTGTTTATTTATGAATTTTGTAGGTCATCTATTTTCAATTAGTGTATTGCGCAGAATCAACAGTTCCCCCTTAAATGTATCTTCCGAACGTGTAGCCATTATTCTGTGACTTAAAGTTTTACTAGATTTCTTTTATACCGAAGGGGAACGAAGTTGAGGAAGTCAGTGTATTACCCCATCCACACACTTTTCCTGAGCGAATTCCTCTTTGTCGACCCATCTTAAGAGAAGAGCATCAAGAAAAGCTGTCTCATGTGAACTTCATCGCTGGGTGTACTGCGTTGAATCTGTTGAGTAACTTCGACCAGTCCATGATTTCTACGCACAGGATGAATATGAATAAGAAATTGTACCCAAAACATTATCATGTATTACTGTTTCACTGTGTGACGTTTCAAGCAAACAGACTAAAAGAGAATAAGTATCTACCAGAACGCCCAAGTTTTACTCGCATACTACTGAAAGTGACTTATTGGAAAATCTGTGATCCGTTTTCATATTCACTTTAATACGTGAAGTTACTATTTTCTACGTATCATTCTTCTCAGCTTTACTTGTCTCCATTATTTACTTTTAAAGTCGTCATCAATTTCCCAGGTAAATAATTAGGTTCTCTGTTATAGCTGTGTTTGCCATGCCTCATCCTCCAACAGCAGTGACAATTTAAATTGAGAAAAATCTAGGTTGTGACATCCAAAGGTTTTTGCTTATAGTCATGATGCTACCTTAATGTTTTATTTATCGTCCGTAAACTAAGATAATACCACATAGCGGCTAAACTATGCTGCAGAAGTTATCACTTAGAATCTCATCAGTGCTGGCTTTATGGATGTTACTTTTTGAAAAAAAAGTATTCTCAACCGACATTATTCAGCTGGAAACTTGGTGGAAACCAGAATATGTCAGATGATCGTTTTGTCGAAGATAGGACAGCTTTAACTATGGACTATGTCATCTTTGTGGATGAAAATAGCCTCGGAATACCTTTGTTTTGCGTATAACTGCTGGAAGACGACATCAGTCTTCGTAACCAACAAAAATTCATCCACCATTTAATATACAGATGTTTGATAGGATTCGCAGCAAATCAATGTTGAGTGACTATGGTATGGTATTTAGTCACTTTTATGTTCTGTTAATTAGGTGGATCATACATTTTCAGGCTCTGAATATTTTTAATCTAGCAAGTTAAGGGAGATGTTTATCGTGCACTAATATTAAACTTGTAGTGGACGCAGAAGTTCTTAACACGAGGAATTAAGAATCTGTTATCTGTAGTTACTAAAACAAGGAACAAGGATATAAAAATATTTACAAAATTAGAAATTTAAGCAGAGAGTCAATAAGTACCGCAAATATTGTCAAAAATAGGGTCACTTCAATATGTTATCACTGAGTTCAATCTACTAGAAATTTGGTCTCCGTAACACAATTTGAAGGACACAAGGATGTGATGATGGTGAAACTTGTGAGACACAGCAGTAGAATAGATTGCTAAAAAACTTGGAAATAAAAGATGGGTTTCCTGAAAATGTTTTCCAAAACACTACTTATTATAGTGTGGAATAAGACTGCCAAAATCTTTATAAGAAGCAGTAAACTCATGGAGCCTCTTACAACTAATCACTTTGTTCCGAAGTTTCCGGTAAAAGCATGTAAATCAATATGCAATTACCAGATTGCTTGAAGAGAGAAAAATCAGCAGAACTCTCAAATCTAGATAGGCTTCAAAATAGGCAAGATCGTTGTAAATGCATATAAACAATAGCGTTTTGTATACATTTTTGACATTGCAATACACCTTCTGCTATATTACAGCCTTTACCATTACGGAGGAACTGAGCGACCATTGAGAGTGGAGTCTGAAGGTTGTTGTTCAGGTGTCCACACTCCCGCGCACGAATAAGTATATAACCCAGGTTATTTCAATAAGACATCGTTAGAATATAAAAAGTGGTGACTAGGTTATAAAACTACTAGTACTTACCTCAGGCAGAAGCAGAAACTAGAAGAACGAAGTAGGAGCGAGTCACCACATATTTTGATACAAGTGACTCCCAAGTAACAGAGGCTGTATCCATAAAAAACTGGGTATTGCGGATAAACAACTTCCTTCTTGTACATAGGTCAAAGAAAATTTATAAAGCGTAGAAAATGACATGAAGAAATATAGTTTTCAATTTAAAGACAAAAAAGTTATTTATACAGTCTTCATCAACTTGAGTACTTATGTTTGTGAGCCAGTATAATATGAACTAGTTTAAGGATAAAATTCGAGCATGGTAATGAGATTTGAAACAGGATATCATCAGTGTGCTAGAGAATGAAAAGAGGAGGTTCATAAAAATTATTAACCCAGTGGAGAACATTGCTACACAGTGGTTTTGGAGTGAGATTTAAAGGGAGACTTACTAAACAACACTGCAGTTCATCATTAGGTCCTTTAAGTGTTATAGATTACCTACTCGTTTTGCAAGACTTTCATTGCACCCGTAAAGTTCTAACATTTTTGCATGTGACACAAGGGAGAAATTACCATGTCGGGTTGGAAGTTACAGATTGAACAGTTTCATCTAACATCATTCCGTGGCTAAAACTTTTGTGAGATTCACTTTTTGATTAAGGAAAGGTTTTGGTGATTATAGACGTGGAAGAAAAGCCAATTATATGAATATCGTTAACAATGCTAAAAAAGGTGAAACTCTACTATATCTGTCGCCAGAAGTATGGATCAGCCACTTGAAAATTGTTTCATATCAATAACGTCTGGTTGTAGCACAACGATAGAAGAGTATTTTATTCACGAACATAAAGTGCTTGTCTTCCGTTAGTGTTTTTGCACCAATCGTAGCTTATTTCAACTATGTAGACTGTTCATGGTTATTCATTCAGCTTTTTGAGTGAATTTTCATCGATTTGGAGTATGTTCAGAATCTCTTGGCGTTGAGAATCACCTCAGCTGGCATAGAGATATATAACCGAAAGTAATTAGTTATCTTAGGTTGCTATCCAGTATACACAAAAGAAAACCCTAATATACAGCCAGTTTCTAAACATGATAGTCGATTAAAAATTAAAGTTTAAATTCAATGGGTGAAGTTGCATAAACACAACAGAGTTAAAACTGGGAATGACCGTGTCCAGTTTTTGTTTTATCTGTTACATAGTACAATCATTACTTGCTATATAATTCAAGCAATCTGTATATAAGCATCTTTCAGAAACAAAACAATGCACTATTATAACAAAATATCATTTATGGCTCAAAAACAGATTTCACTCAGAAAGTGTGTTCAGACCAAAGATGTTATACAACTAAAATGTAAGTTAATAATACGTATAGTTTCGGTCATGAGGCTATGATATTCAAGTGAAGATAAGGGTTTCAGTTTTGAGTAGCTGTATACATTAAAAATGCCGCCATTCTTCATTTTAATTCGAAGCAGATAGATTTCAGGTGGGGCTTAAAGTCATCCATGGGTGTTATTTTTCATGTGTAAAAATGCGTATTTTTTGTGTTATGTTCGCATATACTTTGAAATGAAAACTGTTATCATAAATCATTTTCGCTGAAATATGAAGCTTCAGTTTACTCCTCTGTTTTGTGAGCACCCTTATTTATAAGTAAGCATACTTACTTTCCACTTAAGAAAGGGAAACACAGCCAATACTTTACATATGAATAAACGCTAAGAAACACGATTCAGTGACAGTCAGCACTTTAAAAACTATACAAATGGGTGAAATATGCAAACAGAAAGCAGAAAATATGCATTTTCACATGGGACGCCATAGCCTAAAACAAGTACAATGACACCCGGAGATGAGTTTCAGACTCACCACGGATTTTTTGGTTGAAATCAAAGAAGAGTTTCACTGGGGGACGGCTTGCGCTTCCAGCTGAAACTAACAACAGTAGTGTTGAAATCAATAGCTTTTTATGCTTCAGAAACTGTTGACCTTCGGAGGTATTATAACTGAACTATGAATGTCCTAACATTGGTCACTGGTAAACAGTCACTGTGTATAGAGAAGTTCAAAAATTTGAAAGTAAGCGAGAGACATTGATCTCTTATTAAAATGTACCTTTTCATCTGTTTAAAGACATTATATCAAAAGGTAAGCAATGATTCAAAATAATCTAATGCATTTATGTTTATTGCATAGATAAACAGAAAACAGAAACAGACCATCTGGTCATTGATCCTAAAACAGGTGTTAAAGCTTCAGATGATACTGAAAACAAATAGATTTTATTCCAATCTGATTGGATTACAAAGTCGATTCAAGGTCATATATATGATTGAATTTATAAGTAGCGGGGAAATTTGTAGCACATATATGTCTTTAGTATAATAAGAAAAAACCTTGAAGTATTTCCAAGGTCACGGGAAAAATTGTGTTATTCTAAATTGGCAAGGATCATATTCAGTCAACAGAACCATATATATTCAACCAGTTAAATAGTTAATTCTGATTAGAAATATGTACTTTTCGATTTCATAAGTATGAATTAAAACTGTACATTTTATTTCTTAATTTCTACCATCCTTCAAGTATCAGCCAAAGGGAAGGAGTGTGCATTATTTTATCAATGAAATTTTCTCGTGTAAACAAACGAAAATAGTTCCTGTGAGGTAAGTGTTTGTTTTTCGTGCTTGTTACCTTTCTTATTTACCACTGATTCAGATATGAATATATCATTACTAACCTACATGTGGTAAAAATGTTGGCTTAAATTCCTCATTGTTACTGGATACCGTATACGGCGCTCAGTAATCATTGTTTTCCAGACTTTTCTCTCTATGGTTTCCGAAATACAAGTTTAACTACCAAGTTACTCAAAAATAGAAAACACTGAATGACTGCATAGGTTCTAAGAAAAGCTGTTACACGCTTACTGAACCAGGATCCAAGTAAACATGGAGTCTGTAAAACAAAATAAGTTTGTTGCATATCACCTAACAGATTTCAGATGTAATAAATCTCATTTTGATCCTTTAGAAATAGGTTGTATCTCCAAAAACTAATCTAATGAGGTGATCCAAATAAAAAGCCTCTAAAATCTACCACATTTAGGTTATCACTTAAAAAGGCGTCGGATAACAATACTGTAATAAATAAATTATCATTTGACTATCTGAGATAGCTGTAGTTTGGCAGACTAGTATTTATACTGGGTGACGATTGAAGGTGGGATGAAAATTTATACTGCGGCTGGAGACTTAAATCGTAGCTCAGCTGGTAGGGCACCAGGTTGGAAACCTGATGGCCATTGGTTCGAATCCGGCAACTGTCCTAATTTTCATTTCACCTGCAATCATCATCCAGCATACATAAACTAACTTGATGAACAATAATACATGCAAAAGTTAAACTTAGGAATCTGGTAGCATATAACTGCCTGTTAATTTGCTTGGTAGCTATTCCCTACAGTGAAAACGTGTTAACCACTGGATGGCAATACGAAAAATCAGTTTGATCATCTGAAATAGCCGTGGTTTGGCAGACTTGTAATAATACTGGGCGTTGATTGAGGGTGAAATCAAAATCTGTTCCACGGCAGGATTCAAAACAGCAGTTGGATCTTGCCGCTTAGTTGGAAGAGCATCGACCGGAAACACGTTGATCGCTAGTTCGAATCCTGTTTGGCCCTGATTCTCATTCCACTCCCAAGCATCACCCAGTATCAATAAAAATAATATCTGTTGCTCACTAACATTTCAAAGATAATTGCACCACACTAAAATATTGTCTTCATCGTTTTGTTTCTTCACTCTCATTTGTGCTATGAATAGTAGGGATTTCCAGACATTGCTAATAAGTTTTGACTCGTCTAGGTTGCATGTGTTGGATGTCGATTCGGTAAGCAAAGCTTCAGCTATCATTTTTAGAAGTTGAACAACCGTGTTGATAGTGATAATTAATAAACAAAATGTGTATTATCAGCTATATGTCATCAAAAGGTCATCGAAACAGAGGCACTGAAATCCAGTTACTGAATCCTAAGCTCTGCATACAGAAGAAATACGTCCATTCTTTCATTGTGTCCTTGTTATTATTCTTCCTTGAGTTTCTTCATTGCTTCAGCATTCATCTATTTCTTACTGATGGGTAATATTTATTATTTTTAATTTATCTTTCTTCGTCTTTACCTGTTAGTTCCAATTTCTCATTAAATTTCTTGTATTATTTTACTTTGATTACTGATTATAATATGTAAGTAATAATTGTGAGTTTCAGCTTGCTAAGGTTTATGTTGTTTTCCCGCCTGAGGGCAATCAGATCAAAAACCAGGTAAAATTGAAACACATTATCAACGTACACCTTGATAGATATGGTAATTCAATTTTACTGGTTACAGATAGCAGAATACAGTAAATGCACAGAGTATGGTTTAGTATGTAGGAAATGCAAACCATCCTTCTGATTAACGTTCCGGGAAGAATTTTAAAATCTGGTCTTTTGCAGAAACAATGAAATATTTTGCGAGTGTCTTGGGATCAAAGCTCTGTGGTTTAAATCAACCCAAACACTTTCGAAAGCAAAGCTAAGGCGTTGAAATTTTTGCAGACCACCAATATACTCAAACCACTGGGATATGAGGCACGGTCTCTCAGATTGGACTTATCGCCAGATACCCCAGTGGCTGCACCAGCAGCTACTGCTGATCACTGGAAGTGATGAAACTTGTGTCATACACTCCTGGTTGTGGAAGGGTCTTCGGAAGCTATCCGTATGGGTGGTGACGGTTGGTTGATCTGGGAAACTGGAGAAGGTCTAGTAAACCGAAGTAAGCAGAAAGTCCTAGAGAATAAAGTTGAAGAGTTAAAACTTTTCTACTTACTTCCCGAATACTCAACCTGACGTTTTTAGAATAAATTCAATTTATGAATTGAGACGAGGAAGACAAAGTAATTCAACTTAAGTTTTGATATTCTCTCAAACTTTGAGATATATCCATTTGAACGGATAACTACTTAAAAAAGTAACTGACAAAGTTAATACTGAACCTCAGGGTGGCATTCATCGCAGACTGACGTCAGTTGGAGAACCGGTGAAAGCTTAGGAGTACCCCTAACAGTTGTTATGTCCCATTATGGGATACCTCAATAGAGCGAACCCATAGCTATAAGTCAAGCTGTTCACATTATCCAATCGTTGTCAGTTCGCAATATACCGCTACCACCCACCAGTTCTATCACTGGGCATCTAATTCATTTTTGACTTGATAAATCCCACAGGAGGATATTAGGGAGTAATATAAGTGAGAAGGTTAGGTGACTAACACGCCGACCGCGTACACAAATTGATCATATATGTAGTGCTTAGCACCGATAATAAGGATCTTGTGTTGCATTTCAAGTCATTTAAAAAATAACTAATTAAAAAGTTTCCCATCTTTGTTCTGTAAATGCCTTAAATACTTTTTGAAACTTTTAATTTCACTTTCCATCTGTACTTGGTAGATAGTTCACTTTAGAATAATTTCCATTTGTTAAAAAAGGTGTAATATAATAAGAAATGAATTTATTGAATGAACTTTAATTCTTCCTCCCCGATATATTTATTTTATTTCGCTTTGCCTTATTTAGTAGCTTCTTCTGTGCGATTTCTTAAATCTATTTTCAGCAATACAAAACTATAAAACTGTTTTACTACAAAGGAATTTTATCGTTTTTCGCAAGCCCGATGGTGAACATAATATTAGGCCATTTTTTAACAGTCAAGAAAAGTTTTACGGTTTTCACGTGAAAACTAGATGTAGAATTTAAGAACTTCTTTCAAAGAGACTGAAAAAAATATAATCTTAATAAGTAGCACATGATGCGTGTAGCTAGAAATATATAAGTTGAATAAGTGGCAATATACTAGTTATAATATATCATGTAGGAAGCATTTGTACCGGTTCTGCCGTAACACCATCGATTAGAGTGCTAAGCGATGAGGCTTTTAAGCTTTTACGTCGATTCGTCACTGGAGGGCAACCAATTTCATGTTGTCTAGTCCTGTGCGCTTACCGAATTCCATCGATCATTTTGAACTTTATCCGCCGATCTAGGACGGTCACCATCGCGGTGCACTTAGACAGATATGAGTTCGTTGACGGCAGTCATCAGTCAAAGTGTATCACGTTGTGTTGAGTCTACTAGCTTGGTGACAACATTGCAAATGATCTACAGAGTTCAGTAATCACTCATGACTAGACGTCATGAAATCGGTTGACCTCCCATGACCAACAATGCGTATAAGTTCTACAGGAGGCCAATCGCAGCTCAAACAGCTGAGTGAAAAGGTCTCTAACCTCAACCCTAAGCGACGCGGGCTTGATTCTCAGAGGGGATATCAAATCCCGTGAGGTTGCAGACAAACTTTGCTGAAGGGTGCCAAAAACAACTAAGCTTAGGTCATAAAACTGGGCTTTCTGCCAGTCGTCTCCAACCAGCTAACATGTTAAGCTTCTAAGCAGCATTCTTTCCTCACACCCAGCTGATTCATGAGAACATACGTAAGGATCTAGCTCAAGTACTTCGTATCAGCCATCTACTGAAATCGAATACTAGGATCCTACTAGTTTTATATTACTGTTAGTATCTACCTCCAACTTATAACTTTTGTGTAACTTAAGATCGATCAGCAATAATACTTCAGAAGATTTTGTTTGATAGAGATCAGACTGGCACGATCCTTCTAGAGTGTTTCAACTGAAGTCTGTCTGTTTGTCCACCGACAGTTTCTTACCTTGTTTTGTGAAGTGGAGACTACGGTACAATAAGACCCTGTAGAAACCAGCGTTCACTGTTCTTAGACTCATTCGAAACTTGCTTTATGCAACTCGAAAAATACTTCGGTTTAAAGGGAAAACTGATATTCAGGAATACAAGTTTGACGTTGAAAACACTGACCAGAGAGAAAAGAAAAGTAAAAAATAAAGCTGTTGGCATTTGATCAAATAATGATGCAAAATAAGGACGTTAGTTCAAGTAAATTTGAGTGGACACCAGTCATTTATGTAAACATTCCAGCTAATTCATTTAGACAGTCAGTTTTGGAATTTCGAGTTCTGGGGGTCGGAATTAAGTTGGTTCGGTTAGCTGAAGACATCACTAACTAGGAGTTTCCCTGCAGCCGGGTTAATTACTGTGTAACAAACAACGTGTTCTTTAGTCCAGTCAAAAGTTACCTTCAGCTGTGTAAATCAGTTTACAAATAGCTACCGAAGCGGACACAATAAAAGGACAGAAAGAGTGGCGTACCTCAGATTTTCTGAACACATTCTGAAGAGCCTGGGAGTGGGGAGGAGTAACAGTTTTAACAGAGCAATCACTCAGTATCTGAATGCCAAGCAGATGTCTGTGATTCCCTCAAGATAGTAGACAAACACAAAGGTCAGTCTTGCTGACGTTTGCAGAAGCCATAACCACTAGGCGCCTCAAACCTGAATTATGTGTTCAAAAATAAGCTCCAGTCAACCTCTGTCTACTTGTGTAACCCACCTAGACTACTATCTGATTACCTAATCCTTTATATACCTTAGATATTTATTCCTTCTCTCCTATTTATTTGCATCACCTTCTGTTAGTATCAAATACTTTTAACTAACCGAGCTAAACTTACAATATTTTACTTGTTTTTG